CCCTTTTCCTCCTGACTTTATTCTTAATTTCCTTAGTAAACCACCTTGGTTGTCATTTCTTAGATTTAGTTTTGCTGGAAACAGGTATGAAGTCCTCTTGCACTTGCAACAATGTGCTTTTAAAAAATTCCCATGCCTCAAACTGTTTTGCTATTTAACTCCATCCAGTTTACAGTTTCTAGTTTCAGTCTCATACCATTAGTTAGCCTTCCTAATACTGTATACTTTTAATTTCGACTTTGCTTTTTGGACACTAAAATTAACTTAATTTAACCATGGACACTAAATTTAACCATGCTATGATCACTACCGTCCAATGGTTCTAAAACCTCTAATTTTCCAATCCTATTCTGGTTATTAGAGAAAACAAGATCAAGAAGGGCTTCTCCCCTGGTAGGGGTATTAAACTGAGTAAAAAAAACAATCCTGTACTAATTCCACCATCTCAACTTCATTTTCAGTAGAGCCAGAGACTGTGTCCCACTGTATCCCAGTTAAATTAAAATCACCCATAACGACCACATCATTTTTATTACTCATAATCCTGATATTGTCATATAATATTCTGCTTTCCTCTGCAGCTACATTAGGTGCTCTATAATAAACCCAAACAATTAGGCCATTTGAGTCTTTAACATCCAGTTTTATCCATACAGCTTCTGTACTTTTATTTTTATCAGTGAGCTCCCTTGCCTGCAAGTTTTCTTTTACATATACTGCAACACCACCTGCCTTCTTGCCTATCCGGTCTCTACGGAACAACGTATAACCATCCATATTATATTCTTCACCATCATTGTCACTCATCCATGTTTCAGTTATTCCTATAATGTCATAAGTGTCCAATGATATTAAAGCTTCTAAATCATTAATTTTGTTTCTAATACTCCTAGCATTTAAATACAGACCACAAATGGTAAATCTTCTACAGTGCCCATATTTATTTGGGCTTTCCGTCTCTCCCCACATAAATTTGTAACTAACCTCTCTGCCTCCACCAGTCCCCAGTTTAAACAGTCCTCAAACTACTCTACACATACGCCACCCCAATACACTGGTTCCCCTATGGTGCAGATGCAACCCGTCTGGCTTGAACAGGTCCCACCTGTTCCAGAAGGTCCTCCAGTGCCCCATAAACCTGAACCCCTCTTTCCTACACCACCATTTTAGCCACACATTTAATCCCCTTATCTCAGCTAACTTAGCTTGACTCGCACGTGGCATGGGAAGTATTCCAGAGAATACCACTGTGGATGTTCTGCTTCTAAGCTTATTCGCGACTCCTATAAATCTATCCTGCAGAACAGGCCTCCTGCCCTTTCCTATGTCGTTGGTGCCAACATGCACCACGACCACTGGATCCACCCCGGCTGGGGCCAAAAGCCTGTCCACTCGATTCGGAAGGAAGCATCCAGAAGGGCAAACTTCTTGCAAACACAACACTGAGCTGGCCCCATAATTACCTAACTCACTATGACCCCGTCCTTTACTCCCAGCCCAGTATATTAATATAGCGTATTTAAACTTTTAGTTGATCTAATTAACGTATAGTTAAAACAATTAAGTGCCGAGTACACTAAAACACTAAATTAACACTTGCGTTAAATCGGAACTTTTTTTTTAATATAAATTATCCGAGAGCGTCAGCGAAAACAACCTTTAAATTAAACTTTTTAAATAAATAAATTAACAATTACATACCCGAGACTAACTTCCTGCTGAACCACGTTTAGGTAAACTAAAGTGAAGTTGCTCTAGGGAGGCCGAAAAACCACAAAAAAACCCTCTCAAAGCAGGCTACTGCTGGAGCGGGGGAAAAAAAAAAGTGGAAAATGTCCTCCCGGCCCGACTGGCGACCGAGCAAAGCTCAGGAGCAACTGTCCTTTCCGAGTTAAATGTTACCGACGTTAGATAATATTACCCGCGGGTGTTTGATGCGAAGGTACGCAGACAGAAACGCCGCTCGCGCAACACCTGCAGCTATCGATAACACTCGCGCTGTCAAGGACAGACAAGTACTCACATAAACCGAGAGAAAAAAAAAGTGAAAAGTTAAAAATAAAACAACAACCATCTACATAACCGTACTGGCACACAAACACTCAAATATACTTCCAGATAATTCCAGTCAACCGCTTCAACAGACGCACAACACAAGTGCACACAGCGTCTACACCCCTCCCGCACAGTGCAGCAATCCCAGCAGCCTCTACAGCAATCCCAGAAATCTTAGCGAGAATGACATCCAGCTATGCCTGACAACATCCATGTTTCTACTTAGGTAATAACAGGTGGCCCCCAAAGGCCCTGTGCTTGGTCCCTTCCTCCTCTTTCTTTACATGAACTTTCTAGGTCAGATCATCGAATCACATGGCTTCTCCTACCACTACTCCTCCTATGACATCCAGCTATGCCTGACAACACCCATGTTTCTGCTTAGATCTCTGCATGTCTCATTGACATTGCAGCCTGGATGAGGGACCATCACCTCAACAAGATTGACCTTCTTGTCTTCTCTGCCAGGCCTATCATGCAACATGACATCGCTGCTCACCTTGGATCGTCAACTTTGTCTCAATTAAGGTCTGAGGAACCTAGTGCAATGACAAACGACCAGGTGTCCTTTGTTGAGCATCTTATAAATTTACCCAACATAACATCAGGGCCGGTATGCATAAAACTTCCTAAGAATGGTCGTACACTTTGACTTAAGAGTTAAAAAAAATCTTACCAAAAAGTAGGACCTAAGAGCATTGTATAAAGCTGCTAAAAGTAACTTTCAGCAAAGTCTAAGCCCAATTCTTAAAAGTGCTGACGAAGCCAGCATTTAAGTGTCGTGAAATGAGGACTACAAATAAAATCCCGCCCCAAATACTGAGTTCAACCAATAGAGGAGCTGCACGGTGAATATATTAGTGACATTAAACCGTTAATGTAGAGCTTTATACAACATACCTTTTTGTGATCATACCTTTAATTGGTTGTACGAAAATCTACCTAGCACATCACCAATAAATTTCCACTAATAGATGCACATGTAGTATAAATTATGGGTCAATCGCAAAACTTATAGCAAGACATTGGATCCTGAAAGAAAATCAAACTGGACGACAAACAAAACAGTTCTTTTGGCACAGTTGGTGCTTAAATGGAAGGAGGTAGTGCGACGAAAGTTTGGCCCAGCTGTTAAAAGCACGGACAAAAAAAAGCTTAGGAGGCTCGGACAAGGCGTTCAGCAGAGGAATGTGAAAAAAGGTGGTATAATGTTCTATCGACCTCGCGAAAGGAAATCACAGTTTATAAAGCAAGCATGCAAGCTACAGGTTTGTGTCATTACTTATATTGCTCTTATGACCCTTTGATGATAATAATAATTATTATTATTATTATATTTTTCCAGTTGCCAAAAACGTAGCATTATTATCACCTTCAGTTCAACTGTAAGTGCATTTTCAGGTGACGTAGGAGATTGTGTCCGGTTCCTAATTAGTTCGGTAACAAAAATAATGCCTTCACGATCAAGCCTGTATCTTTTTATCAACTCGTTATCATCGTAAATCCGCAGTACGTCCTTTCTTTGACGGAAAGTGCGCGGTCTCCGTCTGGATGCGCGTAGTGCAGCTGCCATCATTCAACTCCTAACTGGCTTAGGAGTCCTCTCCAGCTCTCTTAAATAATTTAGGAGCTGAGACCAAGTCTTAACACTTAAGAATGTTTATGCATGCCACTTATTCTTAAGTCTGGGAGTAGGAGCAAAATCACGTCACTCTTAGAATTGTGACGCATTTAAGAGTGAAATTTTACTCTGAGAAGTTTTATGTATACCGGCCCAGGTCTTTTCTGCCTGAGTACACAGCGTAGTTTCTAGTCTAGTCAATTGCTGCCTTGTGACTAAACTACTGCAACTCTCTATCTGCAAAGCACATTTGGTGTTCAATCAGTCCTCTGTCCCATCTCACCCTCTTCATTCAGCAAGCCAACGGCACCTTGCGATACCTCTCCCTCGTAGAGTCTCACTCCAGATGTTTGTTATGTGGTTCTCTGATGGTGGAATGAGCTGCCAAATCACATCAAGGGATCATATTCCCTCTCCACCATCAAGGAACACCTGAAGGAACCATCTGTTACAGGAATTCCACTACTAGCTTGATGCATCTCTGCATTCCCTGAATATTCTTAATGTTGCACATCTGGTCATTGAATGGTCTTATCTGGTTCTTGTTTTGCTGGAAGATGTTGATAGCTCTTGCTCCTATACAACTTACCCTTGTGACTGTGTATTCATTGGAAGCTCAGTCTAGCCATTTTTTACCCTTGTGCTATTTTCCTCACTTGTGCATAACTTTGTTAAATAACCATCTGTTAAATAAAGTAAATGTACAAATAGTTCTCTGCAGAGATTTTTAGTTAATACTAGGTAATCTTAGCTGCTTGGGTCACATGCTGCAAAGAAAGCAGGCTTTAGATTGCCAATGTGAGAAAAAATCTGTTACATAGAAGAGTTCCCAATCCCAGTCCTGGAGGACCAAAATCCAACAGTTTGCAGATTTTCCTGTTCAAATACAGCTAATAACCCGATTCATTAATTAATTAGCCAATTAAGATGTTCAGGAAAATATGCAAACTGTGTTGGACTCTGGTCCCCCCAAAACACAACTGGGAAACCCTGACAGGATGTTACCCTTCAGCGAAATGTTTGTCATTTAAGTAACATGTGAAACCTTTAACCTTGTTTTATATAGACATGAAAATATATAAAAAATAACTATCCTGGGTTTCTTGTACTTTTTCAATTGCAATCATATACTCGGTCTTCAGAAATGTCTTTAAGATTGACAGCCAGTATGTGGAGCCCCTAAATTTGGTTCATATGTCTCTGAAAAGCAGCTAAGAAATTCACACAATTAACCACAAAGGAATTATTCTACAAGGATGTTTGACCTTTTATTTTCCCCTTTATGTATCAAGTGATGCATAAATACTGCAACAAATCCAGTATAGGATGTTGGCCTCCCCGCAGCACAGAACTGTACATGTATACATGTAGAAATCTATTTAATGCTGACAGTGATGCCTGAACATACACAAATAGTGTTCTGTGATTTTAATCTATTTTAAAACTGGAAACAGAAACGGCAAAAGCATTTTCAAGGCTTCAGAACATTGACACGATGTAGTGACATGAAATCAGTCATTGAAACCCACGGTAACATTTAATCAAGAGATGGAGCCTGTGCTGTTGTGGCCCAGAATCCTCCTGCACCTTATAACCTCAGTTACCACATGATGCTCTTAAAGCCGGCCCATGTCTTAAACCCATTTGGACCCTGATCAGTCACTGCTGTGTAGAATCCCCTCTTCAGCAGAAGGGAATGCAGGTTATAACTAAGTTTGTAAATGTACTAAGTTACAGTTTTAGGTGACTGACTGCCTTAATCAGCTGAGCTGCAGCTCAGTTTGACGCCACCACCATAACCCCCCCCCAATGCCGCCCCCCCACCCACCCAAGCTATACTAAAACAGCAATACAGAGCGAAGGCCAATCAGAAAATATGCCAATCAGAGCCTTCAAACTATATCAAAGGCAAAGCAAAAATAATATGGAGGAAATAAATGTTGCATATTTTTGTACATATATTGATATTTTAGACTCAAGCTACTAACTGTGAATATTGAAGGGGGGGGGGGGGGTTGGGGACTTCTAGTTAACTCGACATCATCAGGAATTCTGTGTAACCTTGTCTGCCTCCCATATGCAAACATCACCGACTCAAGATGGCATCCCACTTCTCTAAGAAACGTATCGGAGTGCGTTTTCAGGAGAAACACAACGTAGCTAAGCACAAAGCTGGCTGCACATCACCTCCCAAATCGGCAATCAACGTTTGGTTCACTTAAAAGGAATGCCAACACCACACACTGAATACAAGTAAAATTGGCAAAACAAGGGTAACATTTTGCTGGAGGGATACATATAATCATTGTGACAGTTCCTCCTCTTTGCATCAGCTTTGTGCACTTGCTGGAACCGAGAGTCTACAAGAACTCCTCAACTTTGATAGTTTTGTCTTCAAGTAAACTCATAAAAATGCGTATATTTACTATTATACTTTCTTTTACATTGACAAATGTTAACTGAGAAACAACTATCTTCTGGGAGGGACTATTTTGTGAAATATACTTATTTTTTTATTTTCCCATAAATGCCTTTTTCTGCTAACACTACAGCGTCTGACTTTCGGTTGTCGAAAAAAACGCCCCGATCTGTCCGGTGCAGAGCAGCCAGAAGCTAGCCTGAGCCGTCTGTGTCTTGTGCTGAACGCCGTGGAGCGGAAGATGCTCCTGCAGCTAGGCCGTGCCCTCCATCTTCACAGTCTGCGGCTTCATGGCCCTGGAGCGGCCCGGCTTCATCGGGCCAGCAGGTGGCGGCTCTGAGCGAACGTCGGACTGTCCCTTCCCCTCACAGGTCGTGAGGTCTTGCTGGGCTTTTATCTTCCCACCAAAAAAAAAAAATAGAATGTAGGAAATGCCACCAAGCAACAGCTTGAGAAATGAAATGGGTTAAATCTACCAATGTTTAGAGTGGGCGGCCAAGGGGCCCAGCACCGGGCTGTGCAGGAGGGGTTTGCTGACCTGCATGACCGGTCGCTGGATGGGGCTGGGGAAGGGGCTTGAGGTGGGGGGCCACATGTGCATCATGATGCTGCCCTGAGGCTGGGGGGCCTAAAGAGCAGAAACCAAGTTATTATGTACAAAGATAGAAGGGGGGGGGAATCTTAAAAAGAGCCTTCACACACAATGGTAGAAGCATACAAGATAACTGGGTGCATTTGCAGGCTGTAACACTGAATCACTGAAAAGCTGCCTGAGGAAATCCCAGCTACACCAGGGGGCAGCAGACACAACCACGGCTAAAAAGACAAGTATCGTGACTGAAATGAACGGCATGAGGTTGTATATGGGCGGATATGGGATGGGCATGGATGTCGGCACCATACCTGCTGAGCGTGGTGTCTGGGCCCAGGTGGATTCCCACTTGGGCTAGCAGGCCCAGGCCTAAGAGGGAGGAGTCAACATTAAGCACCTTAAAAGGAGCATCTGGGGTACCAGCAAACAGTATCAGCCAACTGCGGCGTCAGCCTCACCGGTAAAAGCTGGCGTTGGGGGCGGGGCAGCCAGGCATGCCCTGGGAGTGACTGGGTGTGTCTGCAAACTGAAACCCTTTCATTTCAAGCTGAGGGGTCAGACAGAGACGTCAGAAGAGAGGCGACCAGCAAAGCAACACTTCTGTTTTAAAATGCTAACATGTCGATGGACAGCAGCAGATCAGCGAATTAATACTCTGATGCTTTTTTTCTGCCCACAGTACAGCATCTGATTTCCAGTCATTGAAAAGACCGTTCGCCTCAGGCTTGCTCCCTGGGGGCATTTGGGAGGGATAATCTAAAGCCCTTTAAAACTATGCAATGTTGTGAAAATACACTATACATATAAAAATGAACTGAATTAAATTTACAATGTTTACAATTGGTTTTAAAATGCATCTTGGGCGATCGGATGGCAAATGGACAGCACTAAATACAAGTGTTAATGAGCACCAAGTCAAGTAATCTGATCACAGTGCGTCTTGGGGGTTCTTTGCACTTGTATTAATCACCGTTCACTTGTGATCCAGACGCCCAAGACATATTTTAATACCAAGTGTAAACAGAGACTTTGAAACATAAGTCCTGATTCAAGGGTTTTATTTTTCCTTAAATGTGACAAATAAAACTTCAATTAGGTCTGATGATTCATAGAGACTTGTATGTAATCAGAGAGTGTTAATTAGCAGTCATGAAAACCTAAAATAAAGGTGGGTTTGCAAGGTTTTTGCTACAAAACTCGACCGTGTCCTTTCATCTTTCACTGGGAAAGGTGAATTTCTTTTTAATAAATAGCCCTTAACATCGTAACACAATTTCAAGAAAATACTACTCAGGGGTTAAACATCCAGAGTCTAGTACCGCTTATTTACACAGACCAGTCTGTGTGAAACCAATTAATTGATAACTCAGCATTTTTTGGCATCATGAAGAACTGACCTCCCTGTTTGGGGCCATCACAGGGGGTTGGGAGCCAGGGGGGAGGATGCGGCGGGGGCCCCCTACTGGCAGGCTCTGGCCCTGCTGGAGCTGAATGGATGGAGGAAGGATGAGGTGCTGCTGAGCAGAACCGAACTGCAGCTGGGAGCCCGGCATGGGCATGGTCACCTGAGCAGAACCGGGACATGGTACCCATGTCAAGACCCGCTGATATGCCTCGGCGGTCACACACTTTTACTAATGGTGATCAGTGTTTCCAACCCAGTCACTATTGTAGATCATTAAGAAAAGATGAAACTCATTAAACACACAGGTATAGGAGGTGCAGGTTAAAGGCTGAGAGAGTAAAACCTGGATGAGCTGGGAGTCCATCAGCTGGGACGCGCCCATTCCGGGGGCCTGCCTCATCTGTCCCTCATAGACCAAGGCCTGACTCCCACTCATTGGCTGGTAAGGAGGGCCTGACTGCGGCTTGACCATGTCCGAATGCTGCAGGCCGGGGAAAGCAGAGTAGGGCCCCTTCAGGGGGGCGCCCCCGGACAGCACCATGGCGCTGGGCTGGGACAGGCTGGGGTGCATGTAGACTGGGGACCTGACAGTGTTCATCAAGAGAATATCAACACAGCACGAAACTGCAACCACCAGACAAGACCCAGCAGGTTACCAACGTGGGATCTAGAAGCACTATTATTTATAGGTTTTAAAAGCAGAATTTGTTCACAATACAAAAAAAAACATGCATGAATTTTCACCGGAATGGAGGGATGGAGCCAAATATCTCCTGGGACTGGGAGACGGGCAGGCCGCCGCGGAGACCCAGCTGGGCCTGTAGGGAGGTGTGCAGGGAGATCGGGATCTGCTGTGCAGCTGCTGCCTGGGGATGGGGACCAGCAGAGCGTGACTCACTGCCTTCGTCACCATGTCCCCGGGGAGAGGTGAAGCCGACGAAGGACAAGGCCATCTGTGCCCCGTAAGGGACTTACCTGCTGATAGCCGTGCTGCTGCGTCAGGCTGGGGCCCACCAAGCGCGGCTGGCTGGGGAACACGTGCCCGTCCAGGTACAGTGGAGAGAAATGGTTACCTGCAGGGAAAGGAAGACTGTCGCTCTGCTCTGCGCAGGGTCATGCCTGCGGGGGAAAGGGGCCCGCTCACGCCGCACACGCACACTCGTCATGCCTGCGGGGGAAAGGGGCCCGCTCACGCCGCACACGCACACTCGTCATGCCTGCGGGGGAAAGGGGCCCGCTCACGCCCCACACGCATACTCGTCATGCCGACCTTGCATGGAAGGAGCAACTGATGCCACGGGCATTGGGGGCATGGAGACTCCGCCGAAAGAGCTGAGGCTGACCCCGCTGGCGGAGGCCATGCTGCAGGGTGGCTGAAGCGCAGAGCCCGCGGCCCCCGGCGAGCCCTGGTCGGGCAGTGACTGCGAGTTCTCCCAGGCCTTCCGAGCAGACTCCATCTGGGCCGGGAAACAGCCAGAGAATTCCAGCGCTCATCACACACGTGCGTTACCTCATCTCAGCTACCAACCACTGCGGCAAATACTAAACACGCAAAATCAGAGCTTGATGCCAATACCAAACACACACAATCCTTCATCCCGAAACATTTTAATGTCCCACACAGAGACAAAAATGTTCTAAGGGCAGAATGAAAAATGATTGGTTCAGAGAGATAACCAATCAGATTGTACAAGAGGTAGATCCAAGCAACTAGAGGAGGCAGGACCAAGACATCTGATTGGTTGATCCCACCAGAGCGGCTGATCCAAGGCACCTTGAGAGTGAGTTCCACACTCGTGAAGGAAATGGGATTGAGCCCCATGGGTTGCTGCAGGTGATCTCTGTGCAGTGTGGGGATCGCCTGGGTGAGGGCCATCTGGGGACAAGAGAAGAATCGTCACATGCAGCAGGTCACCCCTCAGTATACCGAGATACAGGTGCGAAAGGCAGCCAACCAACAGCCCACAAAAATAAGCAATAAAAGACACACAGACGACATTTTAGCCCAATTCGTCCTTGATAGTTTTTGTCCTGGTTAATGAAAGGCAAGAGACCAAGCTGGCCACACACTCACGTTTCTGGCTAGAACATCCTGCAGCTTAGCACCTGGGCCGGACCCCGGCACCGCCCCCGGGCCCGGAGGCACGCTGAAGTCCGAGTCTTTGGGCGCAACACCGAAGTCGATGGGCGGCACAGGGAGACCGCTCTCCACATGGATATCCACCCCGTTGACGGGGGCAACCGGGTTCTCCGGATGTTCGACGCACTCTGGTCCCTTGCGGTGCCTCAGGGAGCGCTCGTTCCCAATGGGACCCGGCTTGTGCTCTTTGCTCTGTTCCGCTGCAGGATCTACGTCCTTATGCACAGAGCAGAGGCGAGACAGGAATCAGCACCAACCAGGATGACGTGAAGCTCTGCAGAAGAAGCCATCTAAAAACCCTCACGCCGACGGAAGGGGGAGCGGGTAGGAAAACACGTGCTCACAGCACCTGCTTCTCCACCTTCTTTAGGTGACTGTGCCCTGCAGGGCCGGGCACCTCCTCCGGCTTGAGGGAGCCGTAAGGGGAGCTTCTCTGGGAGGAGCTGGCGGAGGAGCCCTGAGACTCAGCACTCAGGTCAATGCCGCTGTCCGTCTGACTGCCCTTATACACCTGGGAAGAGACGCAGCCAAAAGGGCATCTCACTCTATGCTGGGGTGGTGACTGAACCCTGAATGCCAGCCTTCCCCAGGGGCTCGCACAGAATCGCCTGGAGTACCATCAAGCCCTTCTCTCCACTATACTGTGTGTAGCTTGTATGTCGTAAGCCAGTCAAGGGTTTAACTGACATGCCGAGGATCTTCATTACCATCAACACCAAGGAGGGGTAGGAAGAGGGGTGTATCAAAACTTTAAGGACATCTAGGCTCAAGGTCACAAACGCTTGGTTCTAATCCAAAAATACGATTGGTTAGTGGAGCGAGGGTACATCAAAAGATAAAAAAACCAGAAGATAACAGCCTGGCACTATGTCATACCCGGTGAGGAGAAGGGGCAGTCTGACGCCCCCTTCTGGCAAGGAGGAGTACATCATAAAGAACATACCTCATTTGAGTTTGGCTCAAGCCCGCTATATGACACCTGCTTTGTCCACGTGTCTCCACTCGATGACTGGACAGACACAGCTGAAATAAAGTTGTGTGAAATGTCACAACTATTCAGTTGGCACAATCTGATGACAGGTCACTGTAAATGAGCACACTTTCAGGCAAAGTGGCACTGCCAGCTTCCCGGTCAGCAAGGACGCCACATTTACCCGTGCTGCTGGCCTTCCAGATCTCGGTGCCCAGGCTGCTGCTGGCTCGTGAATCTGCATGCTGCCCCACAGACGTGGCGCCCTGTTTCCTGGTAAAGCGAGGGGGCATCTTGGACGAGGTCATCCTCACCTTATTGGGTACCTGTGAAATTAAAGAGTTTTTCCTCCTATACAACTTTGCAGTGCCTCTTCCGAGTTTGTTTATATGAAGCACACATAACCTTGCAAACATGGAACTGGAAGAAGGACCTGCTTCTATAAAAAGGGACTTGCTTCCATAATGCACGTCTTAAATGCAGTCAGAATACTGTCTAAAGCCCAGTGAATGATTAAATGTGCATTTCAGTTTAACTCAGCCCTAACAACTATTCTACGTGACTATATGGGGCATGTGCGATAACCACCAGGGTTTCAGATGACGGCCGTAAACATTTGTCTGGAGGCTGGGTTTTTGGTACTGCACCACAGTACGGAGGGGCGTACGGAGGGGCGCAAAAGTTAGTAATCTGTATAAATTCGCCGCATCGTTATGTTTAATAAACATGCAAGATTTGAAGCTGCAAAAAGTCCTGCCATAGCACAGATGTCTTTTTTACCTTGTTTATCTACAACCCTATTATTCAAATCACGGTCCTCAAGGTCTGAGCCCTGCTGGTTTTCCAGCCTTCCTATACCTGTGAGCCAGGTGTGAAGCCTCTGGCCAATCAGAATCAGGAATTATTAAACTATCTACCTGGGAGAACTGAAAACAAGGCCTGGATTTGGAATCGAGGTCCAGATTTGAAGAACCCTGATCTACAATATCTCCTCATTCAAAAGATGTTGAGCTGTCCCTTTCTTCATTGCCAATAAATCACTTGATATAACTTTTAGGCATCACAATACAATCTCATTAATCTTTTAATCGTATGCGAGTAAACGTCCATACAGTCTCTCCACTGCAGCCAATCTTCCAGAAGGTAATTTACAGATCAAGACAGGACAGATACCCTCAATAGTGGAGCCAGAAATACCAGCATAGGTAGACCAGCAGAAATGGGCCAGTCCCATAACAAATGACCTGTGAAATTACCAGGACCAAATGAACAATATATTTGCCCATTAATAGCTCAGCCCCTCTGATTGCTCTAAGCAGGCACACACATACCTATCTGACAGCTGTCTTATTACACTGTATCTCTCGCTTTGAGTGCAGAATTGCTGGGCCCGAGTTCCATCTAGGGCGGCCCATGACCAACTGTGCCACGCAGTAGATCTCCCTCACCAGAGCATCCGGATCCTTCTTTCGGCGCTCCTCCTCCGGCTGGCGCCGCTGCTTCGTAGACGCGCCGTCCGAGAGGCCCTCTGGCACTGCCACTGGCACTGGCACTGGCACTGGCACTGGCACTGCCCTGCCCTCCACTGACAGGCCAGAGCAGACACATGCAGTGAGCTGACAGCACAGCCTTCACGAAGTGAAAAGATGAAGGAATTGAAGAGTGTCCCTCTTCCTGTCCTTACAGTGCAGCCTTGCACTTACACGAGCACACGTTGTGGTCATATTGAAGCACCGGCGTGTTGATCTCCTCACGCGTGACGGCCCCGGCCTTCACGTCCCTCTCCGTCTTCTTGCACGCAGACTCGCTGGGAACGCTCCGAGAAGCAACGTCGGAGCGTGGGCCGCTGTACACTGAGCCCAAGCTCAAACCTAAGGCTCTTTTCTCAGGAGACCTGTTTCGAACAGAGGCACCATTGCAGCCATTAATATGCCAAAATGTAATCAGGCCCAAACACTAACCTCACACATGAGAATTCCAGGTGAGACCTTCATTAGTTAAAACTCATCAGAGCAAGCAGAACAGAAGCACATTTATATTGTGACGGTCACCTCCTGCAGCTCAGAGACGTCCCGTTCTGCCACCTGTCGCTTCTGCCAGATTTTGCTGCCGTCCCTGGGATGTCAGGAGACCGGGACATCTTGATTCCCTCCAGAACAGAATCTCCTTTACGGTTCTGCCTGTCCAACAGATGGCGCTGGCTAGAGAAGCTCCTTCTGGAAAGCTCCCTCCTCTGCCTGTAGCGTGGCTCACCATGTCCTGGGTCTGAAGGCACGTCCCGCTGGGAAAGACCTCCATGCTTCCCACGTCTTTCACTGAAGTCACTGCCATCAGAGACAGTTTCCCAGTCCTCCCATTGGACCCGCTGGCTCCTCCCACCAGAATGGTGAGCGGAAACAAACCCTTCCCCACCCCTGGAGCGCCGGGGCCAGTCCTGGCTGAGGTTCTCCACACTGTCTCTCTGGCTGACAGAGTCCCTATCCAGCTGCTGCCGGCGGAATCGAGGTGGCTTGTCCTGGCGGGGGGGGCGGCGCCTTCTTGCTGGGCGGTTATCAGGGCCGTCACTGTCCAGGTGATCCTCTGCTCCACCACCTCCATTCTCAATGAAGGAACCTGGAGATTGATACCTTACAGACTCGGAGGGTTTTCTGGAGAAAGCCTCTGCCCCAGGATCACAGCTATTCTTGCGTACGAGATGATTATCGAACTGGCCCCCATGTCCCCTCCATGTGCCATAGCTCGGGTTCTGCCCTGAATGGGTCAACCTTGGAGGCACAGAGCGACCAGGACCCCTGTTGGCTCTGGCCTTGTCCTGAAACTCTGCAGTGGTGGCTTGGTTATGGTTATACACCTTGTTGGACCTCCAAGAGTCTCGGCTGTCCACCCTCTTCCGGTCTCCATCCTCCCTCTGCCCGTGGCCCTTGGGCAGCCCCTCACATTCGGAGCTTTCACTGAGAGTCTCGCTCATGTTGCGTCGGTGCTGCGTCCCCCTCTGAGCTCTGTCAAGTTTGTTGAGGTCCTGCGGGCTGCAGACACGACCCTCGCTCTGACTGCCACCATAGCCTCCTCCTCGACTGCCCCGGGTGCCTCCTCGAGAGCTGAACTCCCTGAACCCCCTGGCCCGGCCTCTTCCAGTTCCCCTGGTGCCACTAAAGGCCTGCTCCTCATCAATAAAGATCCAGTTGTTGCGACGGGGTTCCAGGGGGTTCCTGCTCGACAGGACCTCCACAGAAGAGCCTTTACTGCGCTCCCAGATGCTCTCCTTGGGCCCCTCATCCCCCAGGCTTTCAGGCTTCTCCCTTCTCACTAGGGTTGGTTCCTCCTGAGCTGCTGCTGCAGAGGACTTGCTAGCTAAAGGGAGGGTTTGATCATTCTTCAGGTCATACTCATCAGCAGGCATCTCCTTCAGTTTGTAGGGGACTGGTTTCTCCTGCAGCTCATATCTGGGCTTTTCATTTTCCTTATCCTCCATATTTAGGGCCTTCAGGACTGGTTTCTTAATGGGGCCAATTCGCCTGGCTTGGGTTCTGCTGCTGGATTCAGTCGTCCGGGGGGTAGAGTCTGGGTCCGACCAATGAGGAAGGAAACCATCTTCCTTTTCCAGAGAACAGTCACTTCTCCAGAAGTCCGAAACACAGCTTTGGTCTTTACTTAAGCAATCAGACTCTTCTTTGTGAGAATCCAAACTGTCCTTGTGGTTTTTGCTGTAACTTATCTCCTCTGATTCTTTCTCAGGATTGGAATTTCCATACGGGGGCTGAATTTGTCCTGCTGAAGAAGTCAAGACTTCATTGTAAAACTCCTTTCTTGGGGAAGATCCTTCAGCCAAATCTGGCATTCTTTCCTGACGATAGACAGGATGAGGCATCTCTTCACCCGGGGCATCACAAAACTCCTCACCCAAATCAGGCTGAGATGGTCGGTCACACCTAGATAGCCATAAATAAATAAATAAAATAAAAAATCACTACCACTTACTGTAAACGTCACACTTTATCCTAGACTTAATTTGAATTTTAAGCTTAACAATGCAACACAAGAACATGAATGTGTCCAGCCAGTAAACGTAAAAAGCTTCATCAATTGTGAAGTAAATTCTGAAGGAAACATAATGTGCCTATAAATATTGAATGATAACTGCCTGAAACTTGCCTATATACTTGACTAAACATTTAATGTCAAATGTGGTAAACTCAAACAAAACAAAACACTAACTAAACAACCCAAACAAACAAACTGGGGGGGTGGGAATAAAAGAAAAGGGCCACACCGTTCATCATCATGGCTCACAACCCTGCTGTCAGGCTGCTGCTGATACGGTGGACTGAAGCCTTCCTGACCCCAAACAGGGGGGGGCTCCACAGAGGGGGGAGTCCTCTCCTGGAGCATGCTGGGAAGGCAGCCATCATCCGACACAGAGCCAGGACTCTTTAGGAGGTCACTAGGCATCATCTGCTTTAACATCCCTGTAATAAGCAAGTACATTCCATCATTTTCATTTGCACAAGGAAACACGATTCAGGATTCAGAGAAAGACACCCATACGGACCTGAGGAGGGGATGCTGGGGTAGCGATCTACATGGGAGGGCCCTGTGGCTGCTCGGGGGTCCACGTATGGAGGCATCATCATCCAGCGGGGATCAAAGCCCAGCATCTGAGGGGAACAGTAACAGCGCTGAGTCTGGCCAGGAAGGCCCTGCCGCTGCCAGGCCTGCGTCGTGTACAGCGGCCCCTGAAGAGGAAATGTGAGGCACCGTCACCCCCCGTAAGACCACAAGGGGAAACACATCCACCTTTTTGTAGTCTGCTCAGTATTGGAAGAGGACTGATAGCAGCAATTAATCTGGAGGATCTGCAGAACGAATCTTGGGGTGCCTATACAGCCATCAAGTGCTATAAACACTGGACATAGGAATCGTTAATAAAATAAACTGTACACTGTCATCTATTTACCCAAAACACATACGGAGTGATCGACTACATTTCCATCCTACTAATAAGTTCTTGAGTAAGACCACAATTTCAAAGCTGCAGATGAACTGACCTTTGTAGAGATGACACCAAATGAAAGGCAGAAAAAAAACATGGAAACTGAAGAACTACGCCGGCTGCCTTCAGGTTTGTTAGGTAACTATGGCATGAAATGGTTCCTCACCACACCTTGCTGGGTTCATTAGACGAGGATCTTCAGAAATGAAATGCAGTGTATTGGAGGAGGGCTTCTGCTTACTTGGGGGTGACGCTGGATCTGGAAGCGAGGAGGCAGAGTTTTCTGATGCCTTGTGGAGTCCTGAAGAGGTGACGGTGGCTTGCAGTCCTCACCCCCAGAGCGGGGACCCGGAGCGCCAGTGTCACTGCAGCACACGTTCTGACGCCCACCAGAGGGCACCTCAGGAAACTCAACTGCAGCACAAAACCACGGGGAGACATGAGCTACTGACCAGGAGTCTCAAACCAAAAAGTCTCCTTTTGAGAAATTTGGCATCTTGACAATTATACCAACAATTCAGCTTATGGTTTAGTCTATTTTACTATCATATTAAACTTGCAAAACACCAAAGAGAAAGATAACAGTAATAATTATCTACATCTATCATTTATATTAAATCGCTTCCTAACTGCACGGCCTACCCTGCCTGCTGCTTTGTGAGCGCTTTGGGCTCGGTCTGGAGGAGGCCGCCAGCTCCCCGCCTTCCCAGTCCCTCAGGGCCTCCTGTGACCGCTTTGGGCTCGTTCTGGAGAAGGCCACCAGCTCCCCGCCTTCCCAGTCCCTCAGGGCCTCCTGTGAGCGCTTTGGGCTCGGTCTGGAGGAGGCCGCCAGCTCCCCGCCTTCCCGGTCTCTCAGGGCCTCCTGTGAGCGCTTTGGGCTCGTTCTGGAGGAGGCCGCCAGCTCCCCGCCTTCCCAGTCCCTCAGGGCCTCCTCGGAGCCAGCAGTCTTCTCGCTCTTGCCAAACTTCTCGTCCAGCTTCTTGAGCTTCTCAGCGCAGGCGGCCAGTCTCTCCTGCCGGACGCGTCTCTCCTCCTCCTCCCGGCGCCTCCGCGCACGCTCGATGGCCTCAGACACCCCCGCAGAAGCAACTTTTCCCCGGGGGCCCTGGCGCGGGTCCTCCTTATCCTCTGGACACTCTCCGAAGCAAGGCCTGCTGACCTGTGGCTGAAAAGCAGGGACCACCGGTAAGGGAAATCCCGCGATATCAGACACACAGTGGGCACAAAAGGCAGAGCAGCTTGTAGACAGGGAGCCAAGTGAAGCACACAGAACAGCACTTCATGGTTCAGTCCATACATCATCGAAAAGTTATTCAAAGAAGGTATTTTTCATTTAATCAAGATTTACCTGGCTGTCAGCAGGCGCCATCCAGCCATTGACCTTTCTGGGAAGCCGTGGCTCCTGGCAGGGTGGGTAACCCTCCTCGTCTGCAGAGTCCTGGCCATATGGTCCTTCTGCAGAGCTCAGGGAAGACTGTTGCTCACTGCGGAGCTCCGCCTCGGCCCTGGGGGAAAACAGCAGCAGTGTACTACAGCTCGCCCGTCTGCATAATTCATCATTATTATGACAGTGAGGGAATGTGTGATGTGGTCAGCATGTGATGTGGTCAGCATGTGATGTGGTCAGTGTGGTATTCACATCATTGGGTTATAGATCATACAATATAGATCATTACAGATACTGTTAAGCATCTGCTGAGCCAATAATGCAGCATCAGAAAGTGGCCCGAAAGATACTGAACCAGCAAACGCCAGACGCCGAACGGTCAGACTGAAGAATGTGCTCACCACGGCTCACGCTTATCACCGCCATTGTGATCCTCTTCATCGTCACTAAACTTAAGCTTCTCACTGTAGTCCACTTCGTCATGGATACCTGCAGTGGAGTGGAGATGCTCTCAGTCTGGCCTGTTGCGGCCTTCAGGATGGTCTGATTTGCTCCGTAACATAAAATCGGAGAAACCAAGCTACTCGAGTCTTAAGCAATTATAATAGGCTGAAAGCAACTTTTGAAACGGTAATGCATCAATTTACACATTTTCATGCCTTTACACATTTGCCTGTAGGCAATACTAATCATGCTGGTATTCACAAAGGAGTGTGTCTGTTTAGCGGTAGAACTCTCCGGATGCGAAACCGCATGGCAGTTAGCTATGGGGTCTACACACATAGCCAAAGATAAACAGGAAGTGAGCGAAGCTCTGACCTGCCCAGCCATCTTCACAGCTGTTGTCCAGATCGTCCAGCTCCTTCAGATCCTCTGGGTTAATGATGGTGGGACGGGGTGTTCTGTTGGCAGGTGGCCGGGGGGGGCGCGGAGTGGGACGAGCAGGAGTGCGGAAATAGTTGCCCTCCCTCCCCGTCTTGCCGCTGCAGCAAAAACAGAGTGTTTAGATGCAACAGGCACGCTGTATACAAGGATAGCTGTACGAGAGAAATGAGCACAAGTGACTCTGAAAATCACCATTCCTCGCAAATCTCAGGGAGAAAAGTGACCCCCTCCATGCTGAGCTCATGGATCTCCATGTAAACCTGTTACTGTTCGAGGGTTACGATGTCGAGACATGTGAACTGAACACGTCACGTTTCAACAGGATACTGACTTGATGGAGTTGGGGGCAGGAGGCTGCTGCCTGAGCAGAGGGCGAGCCGGAAAGCGCATGGGGGCGGGGCCTCGTTCCGAGGATGGTGGAGAATCACGCGACTCCTTCAGGCACATCTGGAACCACACGGGTGAGAAGAACGTTGGTGTATCGCTGGTCCTAATCAATCAGACACGATCATCTCCCACCACCCGTACTCACAAAGGCAGGCAGCATGTCGGGGTAGACTGTCGCGGAACGGTGCTGCTGGGTCGGGTGCGACTGGACAGAGGCCGTGCACCGGCGTGGGCTGGGCTCCCTGCCTCCCAACGGGGCTGCGGGGGCCAAGCTGGATGGAGGAGGGGGGTGCAAGGCGGCAGGGGTTCCTGAAGCGGAGGACGGAGGAGGGGCCGCTGCGGAGGTGTGAGCTGGCCCACTGCTGCCTCTGTCCTCGGGCTCAGCAGGGGGAGCAGTTGGAGGGGGCAGCGGGTGCAGGATCTTCCCCCCACCTTCCCGCCAGCTCGTCACGTCTGACAAGCACAGGCACGGCTACTAGCCAAACACTTACACAGGTTTACCACGCACGCACGCACATACAAAACCATGGGGAGCATTCTGAATATCACCACCATTACATTTACCATCAATATGTTTAAAACCTCTTTTCACACAAAAGCAAGACTGATATTTAGCATCCATCCAAAAAACATCCCGTTAATCCATTCCCAGTCACATCTAGCTTAAGAACGGCATATAAGCATGTGCCTGAGTTTGCTGTGACGGACAGGCATCCAGTACAAGGCCCTATGCTGTCGGGGATAGACTCCAGCACCTCCACCCACCCTACGCTGGATAAGGTGGAGGATGGATGGATGGATCGATGATTCAGGCTAATGGCATATAGTTGCAGATTTTCATGTGGCCCTTAAACATCACTATTACTAATAAGTGTGTCACTGTGGCTGCAGTCAGCCCAGCTGAGGTACAGTACATAGGATTTGCCACATGCAAAGAAACATCAGTTATAACCATATGTACATAATTATACATTCTCTTTGCATGTGATATATCAGGATTACACCCACCATGACAATTTAATTTTTTTTTTTAATGTTTGGTTAATAAAGATCTTTCTGATTCTGAAGTAAACAGGGTATCTGAAGTCAGACAACCACAGCAGAAGTCTAACGATCCCCTTCAGGCAGTGTAGATACCAAGTGCCATCTAGAACCTCCCCCCAGGCACACTTACTCTGGGGGCGGAGGCTTGGTCCGGGCCCATACGACAGATCGAAGGCGTTTCTTTCCTTGCCGGCCTTGTCCTGCTCGCTGGCTGTCTTCAGCGCTGGAAATTCCTCGTGACAGAAGGGCTGCAATCTGTTTGAGACCCTTAAACCTGGGTTACAGAACAAATAACACATGAATGCAATACAGCGACCAGGCTGACACGCAACCGTAACATTATACTAATTTGTTCTGAAATAGCAACAACAAAAGCATTTAGCTCCCTATGCTGCGAGAACCGTGCAGAAATCCACTCACCATCTCCTCTTATTGCCTTTCCATTCAGCTGTGCCCATTGCTTTGGTCCAATGGTAACTGTGCTCTGAAAGAAAGACACTGATCTAAGGAGGCATTGTGGACTCGGAACACACCTCACCACTTTTCATTCAACGTGTCATTAGGACAACAGGATAAACTTAATCCCACTGATGGCAGTCGGCGTCTTGCTAAAGGCCGGTTCATACTTCACGTGCAGACTCAGCATTTGCGTATCCGCACATGTAACAGACACGGAACTGTTCATACTACATAAAATTCTACATAAACTTAGCACATTTCCATATCTACAGAACGCATGGGAGAAACTGGAGAAAAAATTATTACATTTTCATACTAAAATAAAAAAAAGGACAGATACCACGTCAAAATGTTACTTGTCATCCAGGAAAATACCACATGTAAAATACCTAGTTTTAAAAGTACTCAAGTAAAAATACTGTACATGCGAATCCGAATATAGCATTGTGAGTTACGCAAGTTACATATTGTAAGTTACATCACAATAAGGAAAACCCAGTCGCATATTTTCTTTTTATTCAGAAAAAGCGGTGAAACTTGCAGAGCTTGCTGGTGCTAGGGCTTCCACTTGTAACATTTCTCTGTGGCTGACCTCCACCCAAAGGTCTTCGACCAAAACTTCAATTCAATCAATCATCTAATCCAACGCCTTGATGACTCGTTTGGCGAATCGGCGAAGCCTGATTCCCGCCCCCTTCCCCAGAGCACAGACTATGGGATTTAGCTAGTTAACAGCACTAATGGGCTATATTACATTATCATGTAGCAGACACTCTTATTACAAGGTCTAATAAAATCAGCTTACTTAGGTAAGAAAAACACCAGAGGCAGGTAAACAGAGCGGGCATTTCGTTAGGGGGGGTTTATGAGGCATCCCTCTCCTGGCTCTCTGATACCGCATTCTCGCACACTGAAACCTGTTTATATGGCTATTCTACCGTTATGGCGTCATGTGGAAATGGAAGCAAAATGATAAAATCCCGCTAATCTATCCCCTGGTGACTGAGGAACATTAGTAGTAACCTTCTGACACGGCTCCAGTGTGAATGTGAAACTATAACAGATGACCATGCTCGAGAAGGACTTCTCCCCCCTTATTCACTACATTAATATCAGCTGGGAGTACACAGCACATGCTTACGGTTATGGAAGACTGCGTGGGTATTAAAATGTATCTATCCTGTATTGTTTTTATCTCATACATTGACGGGGGTCACACACCCCACAACAAACCTGCTAATTTCGACTGAGTCATACACAGTTCAGTTGGGCTGCGTGCAGTGCAGTTAGGCTATTGATACGTTATTGAGCAAAGCACTGGAAGAGGCAAACTGCCAAAGACTTCATTTAGCAACCACTCAAAAAATGAAACGGTTAGAACTGACACTGAAAAGTAATTAGCTTGTATGAATTCATACAGTTATTAAGTGTCAGTTTACATCCAGAGACAGAGAGGGAACATGACATCACTAAACAATAATAAAAAAAACATATGTATGACAAAGGCCTCATCTGCATTTTAATTAATAGTACCCCCCCATCACAATGCCCCCACAGCAAACCTCTTGATCCACAGGAAACACTGTGCCACAGATTAGTGGAATGACTTCTTTATTCTGTAGAAAATGGAAGATCGATCTACAGGAATGATTTAATAATGAATTCTCAACATTTTGCAGGCTCGTAATCTAAATCAATAAAAAACAAACAAATAAATAATGAGGTTATTGTTAAAATAATAATAATTCCAAAGCATAGACATGCACAATGGGTAAAGGCCCAGAATGGCTGGTGGCTGAGGAGACAGAATGTTGGTGAAATGTGTACATGTATGTACACATGCAGAGAAGTAATAACCGGGTTTATGCAGCCTGCTGTAACTCCCGCATCCAAGAGTGGAGTAAGGAGACGGACACCCACCTGCAGGCTGCCAGCCACTGGGGGCTTCTCTGGACTGGAGACGGATTTCTGCAAAGCCGGCTGAGGCTGCAACTCCAGCAGGAGAGCTGCTGATGCAGCAGAACTGAGCAAACATGAGAGACAGAGGATTAGACAGAAGATGGGGAACACGTGCAGCTATGGTATTACACAAGCATGGAAAAGACAGAGAGATTTTGTAGAGTCAGGCCCCGTACGGGGGGGAGTGACAGAGCGAGAGCTTGAAGGACACGTCTACTACCAATGTACTAAACTTTCGTTCATTGTGTTGTTCTTTGTCCACTGGGCTCAGGCCTGACTGAGGGCATCCGCATAACTGTACACACACACACACACACACTCCGCCTATCTGCTCATCACACACTCCAGCAAGCCTCTATTCCTGACTCCCAGCCCTCCACCGACATTTGCATCTATGCGTCACTCAGACAGTACTCACTCACATTCCTTGAATGGATTTGCTGACCTCTGATGACACGTGAGCGCATGCACGCTCACAGACACGCACCTCTTTTGGTCTGGTAGGTCCTGCTTGTTTGCCCATCCCGTTCCGTCTTTGGGCACAATAATCACGTCAGGGTCCTTCCCTTTATTTTCGGACTTCAGGCTCGGCAGGTGAGTGGGGGGGGGCATACGCCGGGCAGCAGCCACTTTACCAAGACTTTGCAAGCCATGTCGAGGAACAACTAGGGGCAGAGTGTGAAAAGGTCAAAAAAAGAAGAGAAAAAGTGACAAGACCCAAAATCAGCTTTTCCTGCCAATTGTGCAGTGATGGACATTACTCCAGAAAGCCTGAGAGTCACCTCACTCACCTGTAGTTCTCTGTGTATCTATTGACTTCCCCTTGTATTTGTCAAACAGGCTGAGAGAGGAATACTTGCTTTTCCCATCCTTGGACTTGATTATTTGCCCCAAACGATCGGACATTTCGATGTAATGTCATTGAGTATGGGAATTTGTCTTCGCGCCTCTCTCTTTGTCCTTTGTTTTCTGTAGAGGACAGACGGCTTCAGCTGACACTCCACACTGCATATTCAGGCAAAATGAGAACTTACCAAAACCATCAGCTTTCAGAGATCCACATACAACCACACCTAAAAATATGTGATACTATCCCTTAGAGGCAACTCCTCCCTATTCCCCAAAACTGCCTAGAAAACAGACAGACTCTCACACTCAAAAGCATAACCACAGCAATCAGCTTGAACACTTCCTGAGATTAACAAAAGAGTGGGGCAGCTCTGATTAGCTTCATATCTAAAGGGAACACCACTGACTGCTGACTGTATAAGATTAGGGCAGCACACACAAAAGGCAAATGCCTTTAATTCCATGGCATAGCAGGCTTTCTGCTGCAAACTTTTACTATGTATCCATAGTAAACGGCTGCACAGATATCACCCAGGTGAATTTGAGCAGTTCCAGTTCAGAAAGCAACTTAAAATCACAATGTAGCAAAGACAGTCAGGCAAAGGCTAAGCACTAAAAAGTGTTGTGCTTTAAAAGCGACTTGTCACTGTTCAAGGAGCCTCCTGAAGCAAAATATGACAAACATATGCAGGAAGTTATGCATGTTTCCTGTGCAAGTAAACAAACGCCTTTTGGCGCCTTAGTTATTCTGTTGTACATGGTAAATAACAGCCAAATACATGGAAGGACAAACACCTCTCCTCATATGCCTCATCTGCTGATTGTGACACTCTTCACTGCAGGTAATATAGTAAGAAATAAACATTACAGCCACCCAAATCATTTCAAGTTGTATTGAAATTTGTGATAAGGGGGCTTTTGAAAACTAGTGATGTGCTGATAAGGACATTTCTGGCCAATACTGATCACCGATTATTTCGAAAACTGACAGAGACACTGATACTGATTGTTTGGGAGGTTCTGTTTAAATAAGTTTAAAGGAACCCTCCGCCCAAAAAGCCTGAGAGAGTGCATGACCATGAACAAAATAACAATCCCACAATAATATCTGGGCAGGTTTACACTTCAACCTCTCTACCAGGGATAAGAAAAGTATTCAAAACAGACTTATTGCTTTTAAAAATAATATGAAAGCAAGTAATGCTCAGTCATGCCCCAGACTAGGGTGAGCGCACAGGTAGGCCCCTGACTTACTGATCAACAGACAGTGCACATTGAATTCATGAGCAGGTGCTATGAAATATCTGCTAATCACATTTAAGCCGTGTTTACAAACAGTGCAAGAAGAAAAAAGGTTGGATGTTGAACCAACAATTAAGGCAGGACAGAAGGGGTAGTGTGCAGCTCAGTGAGACAGAAATCTGGGCCTCTGTCCAGAAAGTTGTGGGTTCAGGTCCCATGGCTGACAAAGTGAACATTTTACCGTTTATTGAGGCCATTAACCCAAATTACTGACCCTGCGCTCAGGACAAAAGCATCTGCTAAATAAGTGAATGTACTGTCTTTTCAACTAAAGAAATACATAAGCTGCAAGACAAAGGCGAGGGATCAAACATTGAGGTACACTTAATGACAAGGTGAAGGGATATTTACAGATACCCCAGGACACGTTCAGTTTGCACAGTTCAGTTCATTTCCAGGAGCAAATGGTCAGGAAAGACTGCTCTTCATTCTAAAGTGCATAACTAAAGTAAATGCCTTAGTGTAAGTATGAATGGGAGTAATTAAAACCACATATGAGCACGTTCATGTCAATAAAGCAGATAAATAACCCACTTCTGCGAACAAGCGCTAAGCCAACCCTGTGGGGCTGCTAGCTTGCAGCTATCCAAATAGTACACTGCACTGAAACTGGAGAAAAGACACTGATGATCGCTTAATCTCTTCGACTTTTTAACAATCTCCTGGCCCCAGTACCCTCACCGCCCCCCCGTCACTGTCACGGAGGAGCTGCGACCTGCTCACAAATGCCCCTTAACGGGATGATGAGCTAGCTGCCTTATAATGCAGAGTCAGACAGCCGCGATGCTGAGCTAAGCCCTGAACTTGTTCTATGCTTTGTATTAGTTAGTAACGGAGCAGCCCGTTCTTGGAGTTGGCTAGCCAGCTAGCCTAGCATTAGGGGGTTCCATCACGCAGACAGATACCCGCCGTGCATGCAGCGGACGTGCAGCACCTGGGAGTCCAAACAGACCGAACAAACCGACATAAACAGGGGGGGAGAGGGTGCCGTTACAGGCACGGGCCGTGCAGTGCGGGAGCCCTCGCAGGTCAGCCGCATAACCCCCCAGCCGGGGCACTGCGAGGCCGCCGTCGGGGCCCAGGTCGGCCGGGGTGACTGAAAATGTGACTGTCCTCAAATGCCCCTAATAACATACCGCGGGACATAACGCTAAATAGCAAACATGGCTGTTTGTAGAGAAAACTGCCGTTAACTGGTCTAGCAGGCAAAACACGGCCCGTTACAGACCGGGGTGTGAAACGCACGACACTAACATCGTATTAATCTCGAGTAATTAATGACAACAGGCAGGCAGCAGATGACACCTTACCGTTGCATTTTTAAAGCGGTTAATGACAGAAAAACGCCTCCTACACATTTTAATCGTGATTTTCCTCCGGAACCAGTCAGGAACAGTCGCCGTGCTGACAGCCAGAGCCCCGTTATACTCACAGCTAACGCGACTCTTTCGCACCGCAAGCTACAAAAAAACGTGTTTCTCCAACAATAAAAGCCAAATAAACGATTAAACATGATTAAGATGGCTGCTGCCCGGAACAAAGCGGCAGGGATACAGTCTGCATGAAGCCCCGGGTTGTGTCGCATCAACACTCTGGCGTCGGGTCCGATCTTTACCTGCTTCACCTACGAATGCCGGTTTTATACAGTTAGGAGTCCGTGGGGACAGACCGCTTGGAGGATTTTATTCCCGTCTCTGCTTAAAGTATCCCTTTTTTTCTTTAAACACCGGGTTCCGGTACGTATCCTCCGTGATTATACGAGCCGCCTGGCCTGGGTGTCGCTCCCGTTAAACGCCAGCCTGCGTGAGAAACGGGTGAAACAGCGCCCCGCAGCGTCGGCCCATGTCACTGCCGTCGACTGCTGGAATTTCAGAGGCCGTAACAAATTACTACAAATAAAATCAAAGCACTATTATTAGTAAAAGGTTGTAACAGAAAAACTACGGAAGAGGATTAGGACCACCATGAAAATATTATTTGAATTCTGACTTTAATCTCAGAATTCTGACTTCAGAATTTTTTTTCTAAACTCAGAATTCTGAGATTAAAGTCAGAATTCTGAGAAAAAAAAAGTCAGAATTCTGAGATTAAAGTCAGAATTCAAATAATATTTTCATGGTGGCCCTAATCCTCTTCCGTAATAAACAGTCCAGCAAATCAACCGAAACTTTGAATACTCTATGTTACTGAATTCACTTGTTACTGAATTAATTGAATAATAATGAACTTCCTATGTAACTTACACTTAATTCAGCGACTTACATTTGATAAGTATGCTATCATTTGATCTGTTCTACAATTGTATTTTACTCTTGTACTTTGTTTAAATTATTAGTATCATTATTAATAAAAGTTGTTAATTAGGTGCTGCTGCCACTTTTGTTTGATGCATGCATTTGCAGTGAACTAGATGCATTGTGTGTATCCTGGCTTGACTCAGCAATGCCCAGAATCATACCAGTGTTTTGAACATATTGTAGCGCCGGCGGGGGTCAGCATATCCTGGCATGCTCGTGGGCAAGCGATCCTTCTTGTCCTTCGCTGCTCGCCATGCCTCAGTTCGTCCGACACTACAATATACTGCTGTTTATGCAGTGACGTGCGCTCAGTGTGAACTGCAGTTGTCATGAAAACACTCCGTAGTGCCAGCTCTGTATTCGTGTACATGGGGACAATCAGAGTCAGGAATTAGTAGCCAAGTATGCATGCATACAAAGAATTTGAGGCAGTGTGTTTTTTTGTGAAGTTAGTACTTCATTTTTTCAACACTGCAGTGTTGCAAGTGGAGAAAGATGAAACCTTGAAAACTGAGATTTTGGATTACATGAATAACAAATATGAAGATGATGATGCCCAGTGCCTACTAGACATGGCATCCTGTATGGATTCCAGGCTCAATACACGGGACATCAGTGAAGAGAAGAAACCTGAAGTTAAGGCCAAAGTGATATTGGAGAGCATGGAATGTCAGGTGGAAAGGAAAGCCAAGTGGATATTCGATTTAGTGAAAAAATGTGTATGATAGAGGTGATATAATGGTTATAGGATTGAACATAATACAAATGTTGAAATGACATAAGTATCAATAGTGTTAATTTCTGATCAGCTGTGATATATAACAATGCATATGTGCTCTTTTCAAGGCGGAGAACTCAAGTAGCAGCACTGAAGCAGGACTCATGGTCGCTCGTGTAGATCTTCAGATTCAGTCTTTATTGCTTCCTCATAGGTTACAACCAAGGCTGGACACGCCACAGAAGTGTCTATTGCCATGTTGCATAGATCTTTTATACACTTTCTCTTATCAGATACTTTGTCACCAGGAAGTCTCTCAGCGTCATCTCTTCCTTTCCAAGGCAGGCCCAGGTCCTTTCACCTCTCCATGAGATTTTCCTAGCAGCCACACCATTTTGCTACTTGGCTCCTGAGGAAACATAATTACAATGGAACCGTCCCCGTCCGAGGCATCTCCCCATGATTCCCACCACAATGGAACCGTCCCCGTCCGAGGCATCTCCCCATGATTCCCACCACAATGGAACCGTCCCCGTTCCAAAACAAAGTTGAAATCATCAAATATCATAAGACGTAGTCTGGGCCAATAGCGTGGGCTAGTACAAGGCCCAAAAACATTCTTACTTTGATACGATTCGATTCAGCAGCATCCAGGCACTGATTAAAAGGTTTTGTCCCACTACAAACTACATTGACTGAATTCTTGTTTCCAAGGTTACATTTTCTATGGGTTACATCCTTTTAGTATTGTGCTAAAGATTTGAATCTCTAAGTGTTATGTAGTATTATACTTCATACTGTATAATATTTTATAGTCCACCTTTGACAAAGAAGACCAAGAAGTCCCCTGGGACTTTATTGACGGCAGAGCAGGTCCGCAGCAGTAAGTGTGAGCGCTCTGTCCCTTCAGGACGCAGTGGAAGCAGCGTTATATACATGCTCACTATCATCATGCATAGATGAAGAGGAAGATCTGTTGCTTGGTGGTAAACACACAAGTGGAAACATTCTCACTTGTCACAGATCAAGTCTAAAGCTTGCAATGGTGGAGAAACGTGTTCCTAGCTAAAAAATCTTTAGGTGTTAGTATAGTAACGTGAAATTGAGCTGGTATTGTTGCCACCCCCCCGCAGGACGGAGCAAGCCAGTTAGCAGCAAATAGTGTTTTCACCTGCTCTGCCGTCTTTAATTAAAAGCCTGTCTGCCCCTGGCACTCAGTGCAAATCAGGCTTATTGTCCTCGTTCATGAGCTGTACCGAATGTTTACACCCTGTCCTCAGTCTCTCCCGCTTCTTACCCGCCCGTCCACTTCCTGGTGTCCCTCTGATCTGCCTGGTGTCGACACCCCCAGCCCTGTGTGCCTCAGTCGCATTGATCTCCCTGGATTCTCACGTTACAGCCCCGTGACCCCTGACTACATTTCAAGCCCATCAATTTGCCCTTTGGTCACCAGTTTCAGAAATTAAACTCTTGGTTCCCCCACATTTGAGTCTCCTGCACCCAGCCTGACAATAGTAATTTAAATATAATGGTCACCTGCACCCTATAAGTTGTTCTCATTTATGTGTTTAGATTTAAAATACATGGTATGCATGGGCCGAATGGCCTCCTCTCGTTTGTATAGTTCTTATGTTCTTATGGTGTAGGGAAAATGTTAGAGTGACAAAGGCATTACAAGATCAAGTATCACTTTGACTTCATATAAGATTTATGTGTAAACAGTGTAGTATTGGTCAGCTGATGTAATTATCTATTGTTTGTTTTTTTGCAATTTAAGATGTCATTTAAAAAAAAAAATCTTTTCAAATATAAGAGAATCTCTGTTGCTGCTGTTAATTTTATATGTGCATTTCCATTGGCAGGACCTTGGTTAAAAAGGTTCTCGAAATTCATGTTTTGTGTAATTGTTTATAATAAAAATTTAAATAAGAAAGATTTGTTTTCAGTGTACCGCTAGGGACCTCTTGATTTATGGGTCTCAGGATTCAGTTGTTAGAGTTAATCAGAATGTAAACTACTGACTTGTCTTTCCCACTAAAGATAAACTCTAATGGTAGATAATAATTTGCTATAGTTAATTTTAGGCAAATTTCAACTCCTTTTTTTGTTGTATGAATAGCACAATATTTATTGCAAAAAAATCCAAATATTGCAATAGATTTTTTTTCTGGTATCTTGCAGCCCAATTTTACTTAAACTCCAACCACATGTTAATTTCATGAAGTGATATATTTTTTTTTATTAAACAACACATCTATATCTTATAAGATATTGTCCTCTTATGGGATAACAGCCTGTGTAATCCTGCCTCCTTATGGGCATTGTCATGTCCGACCACTCGTGGCTCTGGGCCCATGTGCACTTGACGTTACCCCAGATCACGAAGAATCTGTATGTTCGGTACGGCCACGTGCCTCTGTATGGCGTGCAGAGCAGTGATCTTTAATGAAAAACGTGTGGAAACCTCAACCCCCCCAAAGTTCACCCAAAGCTATGTCCTTGATTTTAAGCTAATCTATTGGTCTTGCTGCTAGCCTGTAAATCCCAAGAAAACAACAGGCATGATTTTTTTTCTTCTCTCTGATGTTCTGAGCTTTGGCAATTTCCCAGAATTATCACTACATAATCAATAAATGAATTAAATATTGGGTAATTCTTTACATTAACTGCACTCTCATAATGCATTCAGTATGCATTCATAGAACATTCAGTGCACCTTCATAATGCATTCATAGAACATTCAGTGCACCTTCATAATGCATTCATAGAACATTCAGTGCACCTTCATAATGCATTTATAATAGATTCATAGAACATTCATAGGCAGCATGTAAGAATATTTTATCCTAACATACCTCAACAACTTCAATATACATTAACGGCAAACATACGATTACAAAGTTTGTTATTATCATATAATGTTCATTATTAATGTATATTAAAACTGCTAAGATATGTTAGGACGTTGTGGTATATTTACATGCTGCTTATGAATGTTCTACGAATGCATTATAAAGGCATTATGAAGGTGCAGTTAATGTAAAGCCTTACCGTTTATTAATGTATATTAAAGCTGTTAAGGTATGTTAGCATGTTAAAATATACTTACATGTTGCTTATGAATGTTCTACGAATGCATCATAAAGGCATTATGAGGGTGCAGTTATTGTAAAGCGTTACCAAATATTGTCATCTTTTAAATTTGCATTCAGTTTTTTGTTCCCCAGTATCAGTAGTATTTGCATTTACCTGAAAGATGACAAGACTTTTGTGGATCTTTGAAAAATAGATGTACATGTCAGAGATTCCTAAGCCAAAACACAGAGGAGGTGTGCATAGTGAATAAACAAACAAATAAAAAGTATTTAAAAATAAACCCCAGAATGAGTGTAATTCTTATGTAAGCCAATAACTCCTGGCCAGCTGCCTGTACTGAATCAATGGGTCTGCCAGCTGGCTTTATCTGACAGAAATGGCACCACAGCTCGTGTTGGAAATGATGATCTGTTAGAGTGATACACACAGTGTTCCAGACAGGTGAAGCCAAACCCACACATGTGTAGCCTGGAGCTGAGAGGACGGGGGGGAGGGGGGGGGGTAACAGCATCCAGCATAAGTGCAGTGTGAGATACTCTGTTCCCTATTTAGAAAGGATGCTTTGTATCAACTAATTGCAACAAAATTTAATACATATTCTGACAGGTTTTGTGGTTTGGGGATTAGATTGTCTTGAAAAATTAATAGCTTGTATTCTCCAACACTGTGTCTTATGCAGTACTTTAGCTCTGACTTTTAAATTTTAATTTCCATCTATTCAGTTT